GACCTCGCCAGCTTCGTCTGCTTGGCTGTGCTCCTTGCTCTCCCTCTGGTGGTCCGTTTTGGCCGCTCAGCAGCCCGAATCCTTCAAAACGGACTCGCCAGCTTGGTCAGCTTGGCTGTGCTCCTTGCTCTCCCTCTGGTGGTCCGTTTTGGCCGCTCAGCAGCTCAATTCCTCCAAAACGGACCTCGCCAGCTTGGTCAGCTTGGCTGTGCTCCTTGCTCTCCCTCTGCTGCACCATTTTGGCCTCTCAGCAGCCCAAATCCTCCAAAACGGACCTACCCAGCTTTTCCACTCGGTGGTGGGGGGGGGGGGGGGGGGGGGGGGGGGGGGGGGGGGGGGGGGGTTGGTGGGGTGAGATGGGATGATAACGTCCATGTTCCTGTGCGCACACAGGCGCGGCAACCTCATCACACGAGAGCTGTTGGTGAGTCTCTGCCCCTTTCTCTCCCTGGTGGCCCGTTTTGGCCGCTCAGCAGCCCAAACCCTCTAAAACGGACCTACCCAGCTCTTCCACTGGGTGGGGGGGGGGGTGGGGTGGGGTGGTGGGATGATAACATCCCAGTTCCTGTGCGCAACACAGGCACGGCACCTCATCACACGAGAGCTGGCCGGTGAGTCTATGCCCAGTTCTCTCCCTGGTGGCCCGTTTTGGCCGCTCAGCAGCCCAAATCCTCTAAAACGGACCTACCCAGCTCTTCCACTGGGTGGGGGGTGGGGTGGGGTCACGGGGGTGGGATGATAACGTCCATGTTCCTGTGCGCACACAGGCACGGCAACCTCATCACACGAGAGCTGGCGGTGAGTCTCTGCCCCTTTCTCTCCCTGGTGGTCCGTTTTAGCCGCTCAGCAGCCCAAATCCTCCAATACGGACCTCGCCAGCTTGGTCTGCTTGGCTGTGCTCCTTGCTCTCCCTCTGGTGGTCCGTTTTGGCCGCTCAGCAGCCTAAATGCTCCAAAGCGGACCTCGCCAGCTTGGTCAGGACAAGGCTTCTGAGCGGCCAAAACGGACCACCAGAGGGAGAGCAAGGAGCACAAGCAACCTGACCAAGCTGGCGAGGTCCGCTTTGGAGCATTTAGGCTGCTGAGCGGCCAAAACGGACCACCAGAGGGAGAGCAAGGAGCACAGCCAAGCAGACCAAGCTGGCGAGGTCCGTTTTGAAGGATTTGGGCTGCTGAGCGGCCAAAACGGACCACCAGAGGGAGAGCGAGGTCCGTTTTGCAGGATTTGGGCTGCTGCGCGGCCAAAACGGACCACCAGAGGGAGAGCGAGTTCCGTTTTGGAGGATTTGGGCCGCTCAGCGGACAAAACGGAGCACCAGGAAGAGATAGGGACAGAGACCTTCGACTTTTTCACCGATCTCTCTGGGCACAGAGGTTGTACCTGTGTCTGCTCTCTCTTTTCCTGGCTGCCTCTGCTTGTGGCGGTTGCTTTCTGTGTATACCGGTTTTCTGCCAAAATTTTCAGATCAATCCCTGTATGGCAGGGATGTCTAGCTCAGTCGGCAGAGGGCAAAGCTTTTAACCTGAAGGTCGAAGTTTCGACCCCACCCTGCACCTGCAACCAGTGGAAGGGTTGGGTCAGTTTTGAAAGCTGCTGAGCGGCCAAAACGGACAAGCAAGGAGCACAGTCAACCTGACCAAGCTGGCGAAGTCCGTTTTGGAGGAATTGGCCTGCTGAGCGGCCAAAACGGACCACCAGAGGGAGAGCAAGGAGCCAAGCAGACCAAGCTGGCGAGGTCTGTTTTGAAGGATTAGGGCTGCTTAGAGGCCAAAATGGTGCAGTAGAGGGAGAGCAAGGAGCACAGCCAAGCAGACCAAGCTGGCGAGGTCCGTTTTGGAGGACTCGGGCTGCTGAGCGGCCAAAACGGACCACCAGAGCGAGAGCAAGGAGCACAGCCAAGCAGACCAAGCTGGTCAGGCCCGTTTTGGAGGATTTGGGCTGCTGAGCGGCTCAAACGGACCACCAGAGGGAGAGGAAGGAGCACAGAGGTCCGTGTTGGAGGATTTGGGCTGCTGAGCGGCCAAAACGGACCACCAGAGGGAGAGCAAGGAGCACAGCCAAGCAGACCAAGCTGGCGAGGTCCGTATTGGAGGATTTGGGCTGCTGAGCGGCTAAAACGGACACCAGAGGACCAGAGGGAAAGCAAGGAGTCCGTTTTGGAGGATTTGGGCTGCTGAGCGGCCAAAACGGACACCAGAGGGAGAGCAAGGAGCACAGCTAAGCTGACCAAGCTGGCGAGGTCCGTTTTGGAGGATTTGGGCTTCTGAGCGGCCAAAACGGACCACCAGGGAGAGAGCAAGGAGCACAGCCAAGGAGACCAAGCTGGCGAGGTCCGTTTTGAAGGATTTGGGCCAAAACGGACACCAGAGGGAGAGCAAGGAGTCCGCTTTGGAGGATTTGGGCTGCTGAGCGTCCAAAACGGACACCAGAGGGAGAGCAAGGAGCACAGCCAACCTGACCAAGCTGGCGAGGTCCGTTTTGGAGCATTTAGGCTTCTGAGCGGCCAAAACGGACCACCAGAGGGAGAGCAAGGAGCACAAGCAACCTGACCAAGCTGGCGCGGTCCGTTTTGGAAGATTTGGGCTGCTGAGCGGCCAAAACGGACCACCAGAGGGAGAGCAAGGAGCACAGCCCGGCAGACGAAGCTGGCGAGGTCCGTTTTGAAGGATTTGGGCTGCTGAGAGGTCAAAACGGAACAGCAGCGGGAGAGCGAAGTCCGTTTTGAAGGATTTGGGCTGCTGAGCGGCCAAAACGGACCACTAGAGGGAGAGCGAGTTACGTTTTGGAGGATTTGGGCCGCTCAGCGGACAAAACGGAGCACCAGGAAGAGATAGGGACAGAGACCTTCGACTTTTTCACCGATCTCTCTGGACACAGAGGTTGTACCTGTGTTTGCTCTCTCTTTTCCTGGCTGCCTCTTCTTGTGGCGGTTGCTTTCTGTGAGAGCCTGTCTGTTTATATACCGGTTTTTTGCCAAAATTTTCCGATCAGTTCCTGTATGGCAGGGATGTCTAGCTCAGTCGGCAGAGGGCTAGGCCCTTAACCTGAGGATTGAAGGTTGGACCCTGCCCTGCACCCACAGCTAGTGGAAGAGTTGGGCAGGTTCGTTTCGAATGATTTGGGCTGCTGAGCGGCTCAAACGGACCACCAGAGGGAGAGCAAGGAGCACAGCCCGGCAGACGAAGCTGGCGAGGTCCGTTTTGAAGGATTTGGGCTGCTGAGAGGTCAAAACGGACCAGCAGAGGGAGAGCAAGGAGCACAGCCAAGCAGACCAAGCTGGCAAGGTCCGTTTTGGAGGATTTGGGCTGCTGAGCGGCCAAAACGGACCACCAGAGGGAGAGCAAGGAGCACAGCCAAGCACACAAAGCTGGCCAGGCCAAAACGCACCACCAGAGGGAGAGCGAGGTCCGTTTTGGAGGATTTGGGCTGTTGAGCGGCCAAAACGGAGCACCAGAGGGAGAGCAAGGAGCACAGCCAAGCAGAGCAAGCTGGCGAGGACTGTTTTGGAGGATTTGGGCCGCTCAGCGGACAAAACGGAGCACCAGGGAGAGACAGGGACAGAGACCTTCGACTTTTTCACCGACCTCTCTGGACACAGAGGTTGTACCTGTGTCTGCTCTCTCTCTTCCTGGCTGTCTGCTTGTGGCTTTCTGTGAGATCCTGTCTGGATACACCTTTTTTCTGCCAAAATTTGCAGATCATGTCCTATATGGCAGGGATGTCTAGCTCAGTCGGCAGAGGGCAAGGCTCTTAACCTGAAGATTGTAAATTCAACCTTCCCCTGCACCTGCAACCAATGGAAGAGTTGGGGGTCGGTTTTGAAGGATTTAAGCTGCTGAGCGGCCAAAAAGGACCACCAGAGGAAGAGCAAGGAGCACAGCCAAGCGGACCGAGCTGGCGAGGTCCGTTTTGAAGGATTTGGGCTGCTGGGCGGCCAAAACGGACCACCAGAGGGAGAGCAAGGAGCACAGCCAAGCTGACCAAGCTGGCGAGGTCCGTTTTGGAGGATTTGGGCTGCTGAGCGGCCAAAACGGACCACCAGAGGGAGAGCAAGGAGCACAGCCAAGCTGACCAAGCTGGCGAGGTCCGTTTTGGAAGATTTGGGCTTCTGAGCGGCCAAAACGGACCACCAGGGAGAGAGCAAGGAGCACAGCCAAGGAGACCAAGCTGGCGAGGTCCGTTTTGGGAGATTTGGGCCGCTCAGCGGACAAAACGGACCACCAGCGGGAGAGCAAGGAGCACAGGCAACCTGACCAAGCTGGCACGGTCCGTTTTGAAGGATTTGGGCTGCTGAGCGGCCAAAACGGACCACCAGAGGGAGAGCAAGGAGCACAGCCAACCTGACCAAGCTGGCGAGGTCCGTCTTGGAGGATTTGGGCTGCTGAGAGGCCAAAACGGACCACCAGAGGGAGAGCAAGGAGCACAGCCAAGCTGGCGAGGTCCGTTTTGGAGGATTTGGGTTGCTGAGCGGCCAAAACGGACCACCAGGGAGAGAAAGGGACAGAGACCCACCGCCAGGCCAGCTCTCGTGTGATGAGGTTGTCGTGCCTGTGTGTGTAGAGGAACATGGACGTTATAATGCGTGGAAGAGCTGGGGAGGTCTGTTTTGAAGGATTTGGGCCGCTAAGAGGCCAAAACGGACCACACGACAGAGCAAGGAGCGCAGGCGAGCAGACGAAGAGTGGAAGCTGGGGCGGTCCGTTTTGGAGGATTTGGGCCGCTCAGCGGACAAAACGGAGTACCAGAAAGAGAAAGGAGCACAGAAGCACAGCCACAGGAGAAAGGAGGACACAAAACAAAAGAACAGCTGGGCAAGCCCGCTTTGAAGCATTTCGGCGGCTCTCTTACCAAGGCGGGCCACCAGACACAGCAAGGAGCACCGCCAAGCAAACCAGGACTGGGAGAGCTGGGGAAGTCCGTTTTGACGGATTTGGGCCGCTGAGCGGCCAAAACGGACAGCCAGAAAGAGCAAGGAGCACAGCTAAGCAGATGAAGAGCAGACGAGCTAGGAAGGTCCGTTTTGATGGACTTGGGCAGCTGAGCGGGCCAAACGGACCACCAGACAGAGAAGGAGCACAGAATCAGAGTCACGGGAAAAAGGAGCAGAACAACTAGGCAAGCCCGCTTTGGGACAACCAAAGAAAGGCAAAGTCGATGTCCCCAAGCCCAACACGCGCCACACAAGGAGACCATCGATGGCACAAAGTGCCACGCCTGCCACGCAACACCCCACCTCGCGTCACAACGGAGGGACCGCGTCACAGTTGAGGAAACGCGTCCGCGTCACAGATGAGGAAGATTTCCGCGTCACAGACGAGGGGCTTTCCGGAACATAAACTATTTTGGGAAAATAGTGATGAAAATTTCAGCAACCATCATGGGAAAAATAGGCACATTAAAAACAAAGCGGTCTATTTAAAATAAATGTGGGATATATGGGATATATTTAGTTACACCTCAAGAAAATAGAAAAGTAACATCTTACTCCCACAGTGATAGATTTCGCCTTTTCTGCATCTTGCTGGGGTTACTACATAGATATATAGATGTAGTGAGTAGTTTCTGAATATAACCATTAAACACCAGTGATTCATACAGTAATCATTGTGGCAATTTTATATTGTAGGTAAACTATAAACCCATCATATACGGATCGTAACGGGATTTTCTCTTCCACTGTATGATATGTCAATTCTAAGATCAAACATGGGATATAATATGTATATTAAATTATCAAATCATGAGTACGTATGTATATATATATACAAATATGTGTATATATATATATGTGTGTAGATAGGTAGATAGACAGACAGACAGATAGATAGATAGATAGGTAGATAGGTAGATAGGTAGATAGGTAGATAGGTAGATAGGTAGATAGATAGATAGATAGATACATAGGTAGATAGATAGATGGATGGATAGATAGATAGATAGATAGATAGTGCGGGGGGGTACATACTGGCTATATAATGGGGTACATACCGGCTATATGTTGGGAACATGTTTGGAGAGTCTAGGTGATATTGCAACATTGGGTTTGGCCAAAATTCAAGTGGTTTAGATTCGCATGTTCACCCTAGGGTTCGTGGCCATAACTGTGGGGTATACCAATGTGTACAATGCATTTTCACACACTCCCAGATTATAAAATGGGGTGTTGTCCTCCCACCATCATGGGAATCCCCCAGTCATGGGTATAGCAGAACTCGTGTGTAGCCGGATAGCTAATGCTGAGGACGATTGGATAACTTCTACTCACAGCTGGGCTTCAATGCCTCCAATGACTGGGGTGGGACTTAACCGGGTTTCTAAGCCCATCCCCAGCTGCTGGAACAGTGGCTAGTGAAGGTTATCCTAAGGTTATCCAGAATGCGGGGACATCCCCCAAGTGCACGACAGTATCATCAAAGGACGTTAATCAATCCACACCAGAGGCACAGATTCCACTGAATTATACACGATATGCAGCGCACAAAAAAAGAAAAAACATGTATATGGACCCTCACGTGACCAAACCAATAAACCCACAAGATACGAAACAACCAATTTATATATATATACATAGTTGCTCACTGTTGTTGAGGATGTGGTCCAACTTTTATCAGCCAAGGATAGCCAAGGTGTGTGGCACGGGCCGGTCTCTTATATGGTCGTTCAATTATGTCCAATTCTATTCTAACAATTTCTAAACATCCAATATGATCGGATTGTGTCATATCCATTCATATCCAAGTTGAATTTCCCTCAAAAATGGTCTGTTGAATTCACAATGCAACCATTTTCCGTCCATCCATTTCCGACAAAACATCAGTCCCAGAAAAATCGTCGAGGCACATCACGGTATTCGTGGAAGCCACCAGCCGATCATCACGATCCGGAACTGGCAGGATGCCAGCAGTGCCAGGGAGCGCCAGTGATGTTCCGTTTGAAAACAAAGATTGTGGCTGATTTCAAAGAATTCACTGATGCCAATTGGGGATGATGCGCCTTAAAAATCATCATTCCAGTGACGTCACAGTGAGGTCATTATACATAATTCATCCAGATACATGGCCAACATAGGCATTTCCCTTAGAAATCCAAGAAATTGGATTGAATGACTCCAATGACCATCTAAACGAATCTGATTTCACAATATATATATATATATATGATATGTATGTATACAAAATAAGTACATAAAGTGAAATATACATTACTTTCAATTCTCTAATTAATTGTACGTGTATATTTATTATATAATATCATACAATTATACACAGAATATATACTACAATATGTGTATACATAATATATATATATATATACAATATCTAAAAATCATAATTACACATTATTGTACATGATATATACAACACATATAATATAATTAGACACATATATCATATACACGTCATTTACAGAATATATATATATATATATACGTATGCTAATAATATCTACCTCCAAGCCTCCAGCCCGCCTGGTATCTGCCCCTGTCCGGCACCGGCTCCGGGAACCGCCGGTCCGGTCTCAGCCTCTTGCGCCTGCGATAAGCTCCTGACGTGGCAGATTTCGGAGGAGATAGTGGGGGAGATAATGGGAATAACATGTAAATATCATTGTATATATATATAGTATATACATATATATTATATAAACATATAATATATATATATATATATACATATTATATATGCATATTATATTATATATATATACATATTATATATGCATATTATATTATATATATATATACATATTATAAATATTGTATTATATTATATTAAATTATATTATATTATATTATATATCATATATATATATACATAATGCATAAATTATATTTAAGATATAGTTCAATATTGTTCACATTTAATGGTTGGGTCTAAGAGAAACTCTACAGGAAACGCTGGTTTTTTCCCAGAAAAAGATTTAAAAATAGAGTCACAGAGGTTTCCGAGAGTTTCCTGGCAAATTTTCTCAAAGCAATTCCGGGACACATGGAACGGCGCAAATTCTATGATTGGTGTGATCTTTCTGGGGCCAATTAGCCATTGAACGCCAAGCAAGATGCGAACCTCTTCATGGCACCATCCAAATGGCCTTGGAGATCGTTGCCAGCCAAAGGTGAAGTGCTAAAAACATCTAAAAACATCTAAAAACATGAGGTGATGTGGAAAACATAGCGATAATCAAACGTGGCAATGGAAAAACCTCTAGTCTATAGATGCTTTTCCCAGCTAGAAACCTCCATGTATACGGATGTTCCATTGCCAGGTTTGAGTACAGGAGGGTACTTAAAATGGTCAAGTCTCAGAAATCAATCTTAGATTTATCCAAGTCATAAGGTGGGAGTATCAGGCTCTGAAAACAAATGATATCCCAGTTTAAACACCACCCATGAACCATGGGGTGGTGGGGGATTTTTTCAAATATGTGTGGGCCAGCAACCAATGGGTGTTTAATCTTGGGCGGATGGGATATCAGCCAACAACCTCGATTTACCACTTACCACCACCAAGGCAAGAACAGGCAATTTCTGATACTTGACCAACCTGACCAACCGAATCCAACTTGATTTGTCTGGGAGATGATTTCCGAATCTTTCCTGATACGTAGTACGACGACCATTGACGGTCACGTCACTTCAGCTAGTGTCGACTTGCCCAGGTATTGTAATCCAGAATGGGAACACGAACCATTGGGACAACACCACGGGGATATTAGCCAAACGCCGCCAACATCCATCGACGAAAATGAGATTGTACCCAACCCAAACAATGTAATGCTGCACTGCTGAACATCATTAAACTTCTTAGATCAGTCTTCAAATTTTGCAAGTAACCGGAAAAGGTCTACATATTATGCGTATATATCATAGCATCAGTGTAGCATCAGTGTCATCAGTAATGGTATATACAACTCATTCACCATCAATCATCAATCATCAATCATCCCCATAAAAATATGATGACTGACTATTAATCACTATTTTCATGGGTATACCAATGGATGGGACCATTTTTTCATGATGAGGCTGTTTCTAAAAAAGCACCTAAAAATACCATGCTATCAACGCATGGGACTATATTTTTTTAATGGTCCCATGGTGCTCTTATCAGCCATCAGTCATCAATCATCCCCATGAATCGTAGCGCCAGTCGAACACGTGTTTTTCGTCCCCACGAGTCTCGGTGCTCCCAGCGACGGAACGTTTTTCGTCCCCGGCGTTCGCACCAAGCGGGGTGCTTGCGCGACGAGTGGAATGGAAAGAGCCCTGAAATTAAAACCAACAGTTTCGGAAGATACAGAAAAGTGTTTGAACATGATTTTTCAGAATTTGTGGGACATGAAAACTCTGTGGATCCAATTACATCTCAAGGAAATCCCCAACTGAAACATATAACGTGCTTGGATTTTACAATGCCCGAGAAGCAAAATTCTGTCCCCATCAGAGGTAGACGGTATCTTCATCTCAACGGATGTCTGCAAGAATGGAGCTCTTCTGATTGGGGCCGACAACTTTCATCAGTCGCTCTTATTGCATCAAACGCATGCTCTACTCTCAAGTAATTTCACAGTCTGCTATGGGAAAATCATTATTTTTGTAGGACTTACAGTAGTAGGATTTGATATTAATTTAATAGGTAAACACCATCCATGACTGGGCCCTTCTCCATAGCTATGTCAGCTAGGCCGGCGCATGGCCGGGGCCGTGCTCGGACGGCGACGTATCCGACGCGGCGCGTCGGCTTCGGGTGAATCGGGTGAACCCGGAGCCGGCGGCTTCGGTGGCTTCAGGCCTTCACGTTCCAAGTAGTTCGCCATCCACCTGGATTACCGTTTTTTTTTAATACCAGTCCCATAGGATCCATGTATGCTATATATGGTGACATTTACCATCAATATACCCCCAATGTTAGTATATATACCATACATGGATCCTATGGGAGTATGTTTTTTTTAATGATTCCTGTACCCAAATGCTCCATGTATAGTATATTTACCTACAAAACTTGGTGATTTATGGGGTAAATGTTGGTGACTATTACATGGAGCATATGGGATAGTGCTCCAAATACCCTCAATTCGAAGGTGCTTAGACTCCAAAAACCAACTCCAAATACAGTCTCTCAGAAGGTGCTTGGAGCTGTAGGGGATGGAACACTATGTAACACTATTATAGTTGATAATTATTGATAATTAATAGTTATAATAAATATACATGTTACAATAATTGAGAGTTAAATATTACTGTACTCTATATTGTTATTATGATTGTCAATATTAGAATCACTCTGAATTATAATGGTAATCATTTGATGTTTTACTATGTGTTAATAGCTTTAAACATAACAGTGACATTAACTATCTTAGTAGTGATAATCACAATCATTGGTTATATCATATCTATCCCTATTGACGGTGATGGCAATCATGATGGTGATGGTGGTGGTGATGATGATGATAATATGATGATAATATGATGATAATATGATGATAATATGATGATAATATGATGATAATAGGATGATAATACAATGATAATATGATGATAATAGGATGAACATGGTCTTCATCGTTGCAAGTCAAGCCAGTGATGGCTTGTAATGTGGTGATTGTAATGGTGGTGATGGTGGCATTATGGTGATAATGAACACGATGGCAGTGGCGATTCACATATTTTGCTTAAGCGTAGTACTTGGATGGAGTAACTAATCTTTATCCGCGGATTGAGTAGTTGGATGTAGTTGGACGGAGCGTCGTTTTCTTTATTTGTCTAGGTATGTAATCCCAGTATACACCAAGGGAACATAGGGTTGTTTTAATGGGCGTTATTACTATTTGAAATTATTTGCATATAGATCATATTGTTTCATACTTTGGCATCTGTGGTACTTAGGCAACTCAAAACAAGACAGATCATGTTTGCAATTGGTCACGAAAGATGTGTACCAGCATAAATGTGACCCAAATGGAACTTGAACCAACAGGAATTGACAATGGGGCCTTAAGCTGGCGAAGATGGACTTGTTCTATTGCTCACGGGGACATGCCTTGGGTTCTCCTGGAGACTGTGGAGATGAGTAGAGACCCTGGAAGGGGATGGAAATGGGACATTCCACCCCACATCTTTCTTATACATCGATGGCTGGACATCACATCACATGAAACATATTCACATGAAACATTGAAACCACTAAGTAACTGGGACAATCACAAAAAAACATTGACTACATGTCACATAAATTGAACAATGACTGGGTGAAACATTGAAATCATTGTGCCCAACTCCAAGACTTTTGGTCCACGACAGCCGCGGCACTTGTCGAACTTTGCGACAGATTTCTTGAGCCTGAGCCGGGGGGATCCAGCACCAAAAGGGGATGATTCATCAACCAACATGTGAATGTTAGTTTTTTTAAGAAACACCCAGAGACAAAGCATGAAAACATATGAAAAGACAAGAGCTTAGCCCTTCCCCCACTAAAAAAAGCTAGCATGGTGAGCAATTCAAGCCCACTAGAACAATGGCGACTTTTTTCTGAAGGCTGGATGATGTTGGGTATGACCTCCTTTGTGGCAACAATGCTGGGGGACAAGGGGAGGGATCCACAAAGATGTGGCTTTAACGACGACAACGAGAGGTACGAGCTGCGCTCTCCAGGACGCACCATTTTGTGACCCTATTCCAAGATTCCAGGTGTGCGACATGTTTAACCTTGAACCATATTATGCAAAGGCCCCAAAGGTATTGGCGGTGAAGACAGAGCGAGAGGAGGGATATAGGACACCATCTGGCATGGATGTTCCGAACCAACAAAGAAACTTGGATATTCATCATGTAGTGAAGCCAGCATGGACTACGGAGGCAACGTGTTTGCCACGTCAAGTATTGAACCATTTTGAGGCACCATCTCATCTGTCCTGTTTGAGAAACTTCCCCCAGTCATTGTCCTCCGCCGGAAAAATATGTAAAACCAAAATCCGCAACCAGAAACTGGATAAAAACGCTAGAATTCATGGTTAGTGTTCTCTGGGGATATTAGCATTCCCCAAGTCACGATAGTCCCATATTTTTTTGGGTAGCGGCCCATGACCCAAGGCCATATATTCATAAAATCTTCGAATCCAAACACCGGTTGTGGGCAATTTTTAGGGCTTCAAAAAAATCGCCCCCAGATTTTTTTTGAGCAGGATCTCTCCTTGAAATCTATGTTCAATCCAAATGGTTGATGATGAAATTTCATGGTTGCTTCTCGAATTGTTGATGGTGAATCAATAATCCAAAATCTGGAAAACGATCCAAAAACTACTCAGATATAAAAACAGAAATCAACGCCAATGAATTTCCAAAGGATTCCAATTCGGATTTCACAAGACGGTCCTGGTCATAGAAAACTATCTTTGATGGATATTTCCCATGGCCGTTCCACTGGCATTGAAAAACAAAAACATGTTTGTCAACAAACGGCACCCAAACGGTAGCCGTTTAAAAACGACGAATCAAAGTGCCTTTGTCATGGATGTTCCCTAAATACCCATAGGATCCATGCATGCTATATATATATATGGTAACATGGATCCGATCAATACCCCAGTCATGTTAGCATTAATATACCAGCACTATGGATCCTATGGGATATGGTGATCTCCCAAAATGACCTCCTGTCAAAATCATCTCTCCCAAGGCGCTGCTTCCGTTGCCGCCGCTCTTCCTGTTGCTTCTGCGACAGCAGCTGCTCCAGATCCGGCTCCGAGTCCTCACTGGGCTCCTGTCGCTGCCGATGTGAAAGTCACTTGGGACAATTATATGATTACTTTGAAATACGTGGGAACTATAGTGAACTATTTCCCCACCTGCCAGGTGACCGCCTCCTCCTCCAGTTTCTCCTCGACCATGTCTGCATCAACTTCCACCTCCACTTCCGCCTTGCGAACTCTTCGCCAAGCTCTTCGCCAACTTCCGAGCTCAGCGCGCACTGCTGGACCTCAACCTGGGACCTTCCCAGCTCAGTGTGCACCGCTGGACCTCAACGGCCAGATAGAATGCCAGAAGATATGCCAGATAGAGTGCCAGAAGATATGCCAGATAGAATGTTAGAAGATATGCCAGATAGAGTGCCAGAAGATATGCCAGATAGAATGTTAGAAGATATGCCAGATAGAATGCCAGAAGGTATGCCAGATAGAATGCCAGATAAAATGTCAGATAGAATGTCAGAAGATATGCCAGATAAAGTGCCAGAATGTTTGCCAAATAGAATGCCAGAAGATTTGAGTAGATAATATGCCAGAAGATATGCCAGATAGAATGCCAGAAAATATGCCAGATAGAATGCCAGAAGATATGTCAGATAGAATGCCAGAAGATTTGCCAGTAACAAAATGTATAAATGTCATGGTGGGGATCACACGAAGTAAAGTAATTCTAGTGTTTATATATATATAATTACACCAAATATGTGATTTCGGAAATATCTGGGAACTATCTAATTACTTTGAAAATTGGACCCAAGTACCTTGAATGTTACATCCATTTCTAGGGATGAAAACATGTTGAACATATTTGAACATAAATTACTTTACTTCGTGTGATCCCCACCATGACATTTATACATTTTCTTACTGGCAAATCTTCTGGCATTCTATCTGACATATCTTCTGACATTCTATTTGGCATTCTATCTGGCATATCTTCTGGCATATGATCTGGCATATCTTCTGGCATATCTTCTGGCATTCTATCTGGCAAATCTTCTGGCATTCTATCTGGAATATCTTCTGGCATTCTATCTGACATATCTTCTGGCATTCAATCTGGCATTCTATCTGGGCATTCTATCTGGCATATCTTCTGGCATTCTATCTGACATATCTTCTGGCATATCTTCTTCTGGACATATCTTCTGGCATTCTATCTGGCATGTCATCTGGCATATCTTCTGGCATATCTTCTATCTTCTGGCATGGCATCTATCTGGCATATCTTCTGGCTTCTGGCATATCTTCTGGCATTCTATCTGGCAAATCTTCTGGCATTCTATCTGGCATTCTATCTGGCATATCTTCTGGCATATCTTCTGGCATTCTATCTGGCATATCTTCTGGCATATCTTCTGTCATATCTTCTGGCATTTCTCTTCTATCCATATCTTCTGGCAACTTTTGGTTGAGGTCCGGCAGGGAACACTGGGCGTGGATGGTCGTGGTTGAGGTCCGGCAGGGAACACTTGGCATGGATACTCGCGGTTGAGGTCCGGCAGAGAACACTGTGGATCGCGGGTCGCAGTTGAGCAAGGACGACGAGGACGACGAGGACGACGAGGACGACAAGGACGACAAGGATGACAAGGAGGACGAGGAGGACGAGGAGGACGAGGAGGAGGAGGAGAGGACGAGGCAGGAGGAGGCAACTGACATAAAATCTAACAACCCTCACCTGGCAGGTGGGGAAAATTACTTTACTTCGTGCGATCCCCACCATGACATTTATACATGTTCTTACTGGCACATCTTCTGGCATTCTATCTGACATATCTTCTGACATTCTATTTGGCATTCTATCTGGCATATCTTCTGGCATATGATCTGGCATATCTTCTGGCATTCTATCTGGCAAATCTTCTGCCATTCTATCTGGCATATCTTCTGGCACTCTATCTGACATATCTTCTGGCATTCAATCTGGCATTCTATCTGGCATATATTCTGACATATCTTCTGGCATTCTATCTGACATATCTTCTGGCATATATTCTGACATATCTTCTGGCATATCTTCTTGCATATCTTCTGGCATATCTATCTGGCATATCTTCTGGCATATTTTCTGGCATTCTATCTGGCAAATCTTCTGGCATTCTATCTGGCTATTCTATCTGGCATATCTTCTGGCATATCTTCTGGCATTCTATCTGCATATCTTCTGGCATATATTCTGACATATCTTCTGGCATTCTATCTGGCATTCTATCTAGCATTCTATTTGGCATTCTATCTGGCATATCTTCTGGAATATCTTCTGGCATATCTATCTGGCATATCTTCTGGCATATTTTCTGGCATTCTACCTGGCAAATCTTCTGGCACTCTATCTGACATTTTTTCTTCCTACATGAGGTCCGGCAGGGAACACTTGGCGTGGATACTCGCGGTTCAGGTCCGGCAGGGAACACTGGGCGCGGATGGTCGTGGTTGAGGTCCGGCAGGGAACACTGGGCGTGGATGGTCGTGGTTGAGGTCCGGCAGGGAACACTGTGGATCGCGGGTCGCAGTTGGACGAGGACGACGAGGACGACGAGGACGACGAGGACGACGAGGACGACAAGGACGACAAGGATGACAAGGAGGACGAGGAGGACGAGGAGGAGAGGAGGACGAGGAGGAGGAGGAGAGGAGGACGAGGCAGGAGGAGGCAACTGACATAAAATCTAACAACCCTCACCTGGCAGGTGGGGAAAAAATCTTGGAAACCACCAACATCACCAACTATAGTTGTTGTTGGGTTCTGGACAAAAAATCGATAGAAAAAACCCATGGTTTTTTTCTTCCCAAGTACGCCACGTCTGGGATGAAGCCAAAAATGGAGAAAGGTGGCAGAGAAAGGTGGCAAATCAAGACCATTATATGTGGAATATGTCGGCAATCAGCCAGATACCCTGCAAAAAAAGAAAATTTCTTTGCTGGTGAACCTAGATATTCCCATTGATACCAAAAGACTAAAGGGTTAAAGTATCCATGTAAGATTGACCTAGAAGATGTCGGCCAAAAAGAAAATTTCTTTGCTGGTGAACCTAGATATTCCCATTGATACCTAGATATTCCCATTGATACCAAAAGACTAAAGGGTTAAAGTATCCATGTAAGATTGACCTAGAAGATGTCGGCCATGGGGGAATCAATTCGATTGTGTCCCCATAGATCCGGAAAGTCCCAGACATGTCCAGTGCTTCAGCTGTGCTTCCCCGGCTGGATGCCATAACCAGATACGACCACAGAATCGTATACCGGAGATACCAAGAATTGGATGTGGAACCAAAATGTACCAAAATTTAAAAAACTGGAAAATCATCCAGTTACCCAGTTTCCATTCAATGTCCATAAAACACAGAGATTTGCATGGATGTTCCACGTTTGATTGCAGCAGGGTAGATGAAGCGCAAAGCCGTCTCCTTCACCTCAACCAATTTCTGTGGAGTTCGGCTGCGCCGTAAGCGTCGTTTGATGCCATACCTGGAGCGGTGATGTTTTCGTACCAGGTGATTTCAGCAGGAAAACTCTGCATCAACCATAATTTTTTGAATCACAAAGCTGAAATGACAATGACATAAACTAAGATTTTCGTGTGATTCAGTGATTCCCTTTTTTCATCGTAATTCCCATGGACATAGATGGAATCCAGATATAAAACTCCTTGGAAAATGATGAAAGATGAGGATTTCACCTTACACCCAAGGCCATCAATGCCAAAGTGAGGGATGACCATGATGACCATGATGACCACACGGCGCTTCTCAAAATTGGAAGTAGCCATGTTGATAAAATGGCTTTAACAAGGGAAAAACTATACTGAATTGATGTTCTGCTAGTTAACAAAAATAGTGTTCGTAATTTATGGTTGATCATCAACTGCTTTTTTTCTTGGTTTAATATTCAACAACATTGAATGTCCAAAACCAGTGCAAATTACTCTACTGAATTCAATGATGTTTTGCTGCGTGTTTTTGGGCACTGGACTTGGTTCGACATGTGCGAAAGAAGTCGATCAGCCTTCTCCCTCTTTTCCTGAGATCAATCATTTATTAATTCGAAGTAACAGAAATGGCTAGGGATCAAGAGATCTAAATTTGATGCAATCCTCTTCAATGGATGGCGGAGAGGGGGAAATAAAAAGGGACACCATGTCTTTTGGTTCCTGTGGTCTTTACTTTAAACCAATTCTTTGGGAGACCATCTAGAATCCAGAGGACCAAAGCACCAAGATCGAAAATTGACACCGAAGGTTCGAATGATTTGTCAGACTGATTTGCAGAAAGATCATGGTGTGCCTTTGATATTCCTTTCAAGAGAGTGAATCTGTAGTGGATGGGTATATGAAATATTCCTCTATGTCTGTCACTTTACTGCAGCAATTTAAGGGTCACCCGGAGCTTCCCCCACACACAAATAGACCCGATCGCATTCTGCCTTGCAATTCTCCAACCGTGTAGAGTTTCAGAGTTGAAATCATGGTTCGGAGCTGCAGCTAAACTATGTGCCCCAGCTGATCTTGTTGATCTCTACTACGGTCTCTGCTTTCCACACTGCTGGACCAAACGGACTTCATCGATACATTCACGTGCATCCGATGGCAAAGTATCTAGCTCTGCATTTTCCATCATGGTTGATAGGTATCCTTCTAATTGTGGCTTGTCATAATCCCCAATAAACCAGGTAGCTATAGCCTCCTCTAATGACCACTCAACAGTGGTATTCCTTAAGGGCTCAACAGTGGTGCCTTCCAAGTATT